TTTTTTTTTTTTTTTTTTTTTTTCCTAAGAGACAGGGTCTCACTATGCAGTTCCGACTGCCTTGGAACTCATTATGCAGCCCAGGCTGATCTCGAACTCACACTAATCCTCCCGCCTTAGCCTCCCGAGGGCTGGAAGCAATATAAACTTGAAACAAGTTGAGATAAAACAATACCAACCAATGACCATGTGAGCCAGGAGCAGCTGTATCTAAGAATTTTTACAAAGATAGATAAACGACTGGCAGCGTTTTATATTGCTCATGACGACCCTCTCGCACGTCACCCAAGCTCCAGCAGACTCTTTCCGTCAGGTTGAAGGTTGGGAATACAAAGAGTTATTACGGAGCAGGTATGATTTTTTGTTTTTATTACTTGGGATCGAACTCAGGACCTTGCGCTTGCGATGCGGGAGCGGCGCCACTGAGCTAAATCCCTGGCATTATGAATCGTTTTGATATGGACATTTTTGGAGACAGGGTCTTGCTCTGTAGTTCAGGCTATCACTAGCCTCGAACTAGCAGCAATGCTCCTGCCTCAGCCTCCCGAGTGCTGGGATTAAAGATGTATGCCACTATGCCCGGCTTGATGTGGATTTTTGAAAACTAAAGAAGAAATTCCTGTCATTTTAAGCTTTTTACAAAAATTACTATAAGCCTCTAGTAAAAACAAAGTATCCCTTTTGTTTTCTAGTCTTCAGTTTTTCAAATTGTATTACAGAAACGAATAGGAAGTCTGCCTTTTCTCCTAGTGGTTATAATTTTTATCAGCTTTTATTTTGCCTTCTATAAATTTTGTGTATATACAAGATTACTACAGATTTCCTCTTACTTCTCAGTGTACCCAGTACTATGCAGTTGGAATACTAAAAAAAAAAAGAGAAAACTAACAGTATAGGGTTTATGGGATGATTTGGACATAGGTACTAGCTTGAGGAAACTAAAATGGAAAATGAAAATAACAGTAAAAGCTATTGATTAAAATACATCAAATACATAAAAATTCTTGGGGCTAGAATTGTAGCTCAGTGGTGTGCTTGCCTAGCATGCATGATGCTCTGGGTAAAATGCCCAGCACCCCCCGCCCCAAAAGTTTACCATGATTCCTTAAAAATGAAACCCAGCCTTTATTGAAGCCTGCCAGGGCAACAATCTTTTTCTTCAAAACTTGATAAAGGGAAAACCACCAAAACATCAAGCATTTAATCTGTCTTTCTTCACTCAGCTATGTGTGCACGCACACAGAGACACATCCCGGCCTACTCCCACATTTGTGGGGTCTGGGACAGAAGAATGATTGGAGGCCAATAGTAACATTTTGAGTGTCTAATCAGCTAAAGGCTAACAATATTACTTTCTACCCTGATAAACATTTATTTTCAAGGAACATAAATTCAGCTGCCTTTAATACTGCGTTTCCTGCATGACATATAAGCTCCAGCACACTGCTATCCTCCAGTTTAGGACTAGAAATAAAAGTTTCAACATCCAACTGTAGAAATGCAAATACGGAACATAGATTTCTCAGACATATACTGGAAGTGACAGCATGAGAACTGGGTTGATCTGGGACTCATGCATTTTGGCACCCCATGTGCACATCCAAGTTCCATTCACACTACCCACAAATTCCTAGCCAGAGGTATTTTAAGGTTTAGATTCAGACCATTCCCCCCAAAACTCTGAGGTGCTCAAAGGCAGGACTCTTGGAAGGTGACTGGATCATGAGGGTGCTATATGCATCACTGGTGAGTTCTGCAGCTGAGTGTGCTAAGAGGTGGGCCTGGTTAGAGGCAAGTCACTGAGGGGTCTGACCTGGAAGGGTGTATCTTTGCTTCCTGGCCACCATGACATGAGCAGCCTTCCTCCACAGCAGGCCCTTACACCATGCCATTTCCATGTTTGAACCAGCCAACCACAGCCTGAAACTTTTGAAACTATGAACCAACATAAACCTCTAAGCTGAAGGTGTCAGGTATTTTGTCCCAGTGATGAGAAAGTGACAAAGACAAGGTATATAGAAGTACAGTATATTCTTTTTTCAGGGTGGATTTTAAGAAGAGGCCTATACATGTCCTGGAGCAACCTTCCAGATGATTAGGCAAGGAATTCTGAGGCAGTGGCTATCTGGTGCATTGTTTAGAAGTGGGTAGCATAACTCCAAGTTGAACGATCACTTGAATGTAGACTAGGGTATCCATGTGCACAAGTACCAGTTTTTCATTCCATGAAGAGCCAAGAATGTGGAAATCAGATCAGGATCCTCTCTAACTCGTTTGAGTACATACACACACTCATGGTATCATGTAATGCTGGACAACTTCCCTGACTGACATCTTTTATAAACTGTGAAGGCTTACATGAAAGTACTATATAGTTCTTGTGCAAAATGGGCACAAACACACAATTAGTACTATGCAGTATAATTAATAAGGAAAAATCTGGACAGGAAAATAGAGTGAACATGATTTCCCAATCTTTTATCACACAGAGATCCCAGCCAGAAAGACTGGTATAAGGAAAAGGCTCTAAATAAGGAAGCCAACTCTCATAATGGTGTATATATTTACAACATTTTTATTGAGGGTGGGGAAATGTACAGAATATCTTGAGACCAAGATGAAAAAATGGTAGTTTGCTGGAGCTGAATGTTAGAAAAGGATAACCTTCAAAATTCTGATAGCTCATTCTTTTGTTAACTTAGGCCTGCCGGGCTAGCTCTGCCTAGCTATGAGAAAAGGAAAATGTTACCTCCAGGCCATCTAAATGTCATTCTTTAATTATCCATCAGTTTGCTTATATTTTGCTATCATTATACTATAATATATATTGGCTTGCACGTAAATATGTGGAAGAAATACAAAGAAAAGGAATTAAGTTTTTAAGGTATGTACATTTAAAATCTTGTCTTTGCTAAATTGTTCTCCAGAAATTTTGTAAGCATATTCCTTCTGTATGATGGCACTGGCTTCTCAATAGCTTTGTCACATGCAAAACTAGCCAGTCTCTCTTCATCTTTCTCTTTGAAAAAATTATCTTAGGGCCGGGGATTTAGCTCAGTGGTTCCACCGCTTGCCTCGCAAGCACAAGGGCCCAAGTTCGATCCCCTGTACCAAAAAAAGAAATAGAAAAAAATATCTTAGATACAGTCTCACACAGTCATTGGGTTGGGTTTTTTTTTTTAAGATTATTTAAAGTTAAAACACAAATTTTAAAAGATAGATATTTAGGTTCTGATTATGATTGTGGTAGTAATCCAAGATATGACAAGCTTCAAAGAAAGGAAACTCCTAATTTATATTATGGTTAAGTATAGCATGTTTCATTTTCTTTCTATCACTGCACTGTATAAAACCAGAGGTCAGCAACATGCACTTCTTTATGTTTAAATTAAAATTTAAAAATCAATTGCTTATTACAATAGTCACATTAGCTGACTGTGGCCAGTGGCCATTATATTAGCACAAGTACAGACTTTTCATCATTACATTAAAATTCTGTCAAGTAACATTGTTCCAAAATGTTTTGGGCAAAAGGATTAGGACTTTTAAAATATTATCATCCCCACAAACTCAATATAGATTTTAAACAAAATTGACCAAGCACTGAAGCAAAAGAAAAAAAGTTTAATTTTTACTTGAGATATTCCAGGTGCTTTTGTAAAAACTTAAACTGAAATACTGTATACATAACATACAATCATTTCAAAATACAGTTACTCCACATTGAATACCCTACCATCAAGTCAAAAAACATTTTAAAAGGCTTTGTCTTGTTTGTAAGGAAAATGAGGCTATGTGCTCACTACAACGCTATTTTTTAGCACTGTGTACATAAGTCTTCAAACTTAAGAGGTTAAACCTGAGGAGTTCAGATTTTTATTATCACAACTGCATAGCAAAACCATGTCCAGATAATAGCCATAACCAGCATCTGTCTTTTCAAGATAACTTGTAAACCTTTTAATAAGTCAAATTAAAAGTAAAACAAATGAATCAGGAGAGATAATAAAAGATATCCATGTTAACCCATAAGGTTTTGAAATGTTTCATCTTATTTTTTTAAAAAATGAAAACACAAAAAAAGGCTGTCAAATGTGCATCTCATCTCATTTATCCAGTAATAATAACTGCTGAATCATTAGGCTGTAGAGAATCATTTAGGTCGTTTACTCTTTGCATGTGGCACTGAACAGTCTTAATCAAAAGTGCAAATTCCTCAGTAAAAAAGTAGCTACTTATGTTATTATTCTGCACTAATACACTAATACTGTGGAAGAACTTCTATAGCTCTAGTCTGAAAATGGAGGATAACATAAAAGTCCACAAGTCATGCACGAACTAAATTTTAAAGGGCTTTTTAATAGGAAGTTTTATTTTTTAAATTATGTTTGAAATTACTGGCGATACCATTTTAATAACATGCCTTATCAAAGTAAGTGGCATTTAAAAGTATCAAAACAAATCCATTATTAACTGAAAATAACCTCATATTTATACAGCACTTTACTTTTGCGGAAACAAGTTTCACATATTCCATTTCATTTTATTCCTCACAACAGCCCTGTGAGGTAGGCAGAATGTGTTACAATTATTTTAAGTAAGGCAATAGACGCCCAAAGGTGGTGAATAGTTTACACAAAGGTCACAGATCTAATATATAGTAGACATAAGGTGATTAATTTTAAATATTTTAAAAGAAATTATGCAAAAATCTTCTTATATACAGAGATTTTATTTATTTATTTTTAATTTTTTTGGTAGCAGGGATTGAACTCAAGACCTTGCGCTTGCAAGGCAGGTGGCGGAACCACTTAGCTAAATCCCTGGCTCCATATACAGAGATTTTAGAGACTAGTGGCTTTAATATAAATTATTCCAAAACTTTAGCTATTATATATCTTATGGTATCAGTTTCAACTTTGACTTTAAAAAGTCCCCCTTAAAAGGCGAATTAGACTCAGTGCTTTGGTACCTCAGAAGTATTTGAAATGTTAAAAATAAAAGATGGATTCTCAGTAATCCTATACTTTCCAAAGAGTTCCAATATTAATAAAAATGCCTTCTACCAAATCACTGACAAAAGTTAGTCAAAACTCAGTAAGCTCCAATCCAAAGCAAATACATTCACTTACATTCTTCCCTACATACTGTGAAATCTTGTAAATGTCCATTCCTAAGGACCAACTTATACTGACTGGATACCATTAAGAAAACATAATTTTAGATGAATATGAATCAAAAGTCAGTAACTTATTTTGACCCACAAAAAAACTCTTATTTTAATAATTGGGTAGTCTAAGGAGAAAAGTGCTCTGGCAACTTCTGTTACTTATTTATTAAGCCAATACTAACCCTACATTACATGTCCAATAATACCTTTCAAAGGAAAAAAAAAAGATAACTAAATTTAGTTAATTTAAATTCCAACTAATTCAAGATTATTCAGGTTAGTTATGTATTTAAGGTAACAAAGCTAGCATATCTGAAATCAGAATAACAAATAATTACAGAATGTAAATACTGTAAGATACATACAAAACTAAAACTACATTGAACATGAGGTAATCTTGTGACGATTCAGAAAATATTTATGATCTCATAATACTCCAGTGATGGCATTATGAAGTATACATTTTGGTTAGAAATAACAAATAAATTTATTAACTTCTCTGAAAGAATATATCTAGTGTAAAAATGAAATCAAGAAACTTCCCTAGACATATATTATGTGACTATATGACGGTGAACCATATTGTATGCCACTCAAGGGCTTTTTAAGTAAACGACAAAAAATTTACTTTAAAACTTCTGACTTTTGGGCCAGGGAGTTAGCTCAGTGGTTCCACTGCCTGCCTCACAGGCGGCAAGGTCCCAAGTTTGATCCCCAGTACCAAAAACAAAAAACAAACTTCTGACTTTTTAGCAAAACATTGGAAAGATATAGTTAGTCTTTATCATACTACTCAAAGCAGCAAAACTAGGTATACAATAAACTTCACTAGCTTAAAAATGTGAATACAGAGCAATCAAATTTCAACTGACATATGAGACACTCATTTATATCTGTTGTATAAGTGAGCCAATGCACAGTGATGTGAAATGTTTATTTTATTTAAAATGAATTGTAATTTGAAAATACTGTCAACTTTTTAAACTGGGAATCACACAATTCATACAAAGAAATCAGAAATCAACATTCTTTGGAATAACAATTTTTAAAATACCTTTTCCAATTTTTCTAAAAAAACTAAAAATATATAAATAACTATGTTTTTATGGAAAGAGTAAATACAGAAAAGCTTATTTTAGGTAAGTCATGAAATAGGATATATAAGCCTAATTTAAAGATTTCATGACAAATTCTTTTATTATTTATACCAAGGACCAGTTACAAAAAATGAAATTATACATGATGTTGTTCATGCGTTAATTTTATAAATGAGAAATAAATGTAACCCAATATGTCTCTATATGTAACATAGGGGGAAAATTACTGTTTGCTAAAATAAATAGGTCAAATTTAACTGTATAGTTGTAGTTCATGGTTTGTCAAAATGGTACAGATGTCATCAACTAACCCAAATAAGACAGACATGCCCTTAATACTTTTAATTTGTTTACCTATATAAAGAATCACTATATATCAGATTCCTATGTGCATTAGTTGTTAAATGCTTGGCGCATATATACATATTTACCAAAAGTTAAAGATATATGTGACGGTGAGCTGAAAGAGTCAAAATGAACTGTAAAAAGTTATTTTGTAAAGTGCTTAAGGCGTTTCCTTCATTTCTCTATCCAGTTTTATAAAACTGGTTTGGAATTCAACTGCTGAAACGGAAATGCAATGCAAATGCATGTTTTTATAAAATGTAATTTTCTGCATCTGTGATATACCACTGCAGTCAACCTCTCATGCATTTCCTTTATAGAAAGCAGTCATGTTTGACTGGTCAAAACAAAAGGTAAGTGAGACAATAATGTTTGAAAGGTTTACCAACTTTCCACAATATATTAAGGTAAGCAAACTAGCCCGATATTTTTAACTGAATGTCGGTCATAATGTTATAATGATGGAGTTAATAGTTACCTTGTTTCAAGACTATTTATATAGGCACTAAAGTATTTTTTAGTTTGAAAATGAAGATGACAAACTTTGTTTAACTTAATGAATAAACCTTAAAAATTCTAAAACTAAACACAATTATTCTTTAAATTTAGAGTCTTTAAAGAAGCAGAGAGGGAAACCATCAAATTCTTATTTTGAAGTAATAATATTATAATTCAAACCCAAGAATTACATATGATGAAAATTTGGGCTCTGAATTGACTGAATTTATATTTATCACTGCAAAGTTCCTGAGGAGTGAAGCTTTCCAGAGAAATTATACATTTCACAAATGAATATAAAATAACACATATTCCTCTAGGCCCCGATTAACATTTCCTTTTCTCCAAGCCCCAGAAACAGAAGGCTATCACCACTATATTAAACTACTGCCTGGCTTCAATATCAGTTGATACTGCATGGGGCATGGAGCAAGAGCAGCCTGAGAGGAAAAAGGCACTGAATTAATAAGAAAACACATCAGAGAAGACATAATAGTAAAAAATTCTATACTAGAGTATCTGGCTTTTTCTGTGTCATTTTTGCTAAGATACTGTGTAGCTACTCAAAGCAACTCCACTAAATCACTGCTTTCAGGTTTGAATCTATGACTGGGAAAAGACTGATTTCTTAGGTCCTAGAGTAGCCCTTCTATAGGGCTATTGAATATCTTACAATTTCTTTCAAAATGTGAGGACAAAGATATAATTTTTGGAGAATCAAGAAACTATCCATACATACTTCATTCTCTAAACTGCCATATAGTCTTTAAAATTGCCAACATAGTGCAGATATTTGTCCTTTGGGAAAAATAATATCCTAAGACAAATAAAGTTACTCATTTAATTTGTTTTATCAATGGAACAAAAGAACATACTAGTAAATTTTAAGAGGGAATCAGCTATTAGTAATACACAGGCCTTTATACAGAAAGCAACTTATAAGCAGCAATGATCTCTTAGGGGAAATTTGTCATATACAGTACGAGATATTTAAAATGAAAATGAAAGAAACCTCAACAAGAGAAATTAAAAATTTCAAAAGTTAATGAAAATAGGGCCAGGGATTTAGCTCAGTAATGCCACACCTGCCTCACAAGTACAAGGTCCTGAGTTTGATCCCTGGTAGCAAAAAAAAAAAAAAAAAA